GTTAGAATTAAGGTTTTGTTAAGGTTAGAATTTTGTTTACTGTTAGTTTCTATGTATTTAGGACAATAATTAGTAGCTAATACAAAATTGACACTCAGTAACTGACTACTGAACATAGTGAAAGCATAAGTGAAGTGGTATTATGTTTATTTACCTGTGTGGATAATGATTTTAATACACACATTCAGTTTTTTTGGTACCAGGGATTGAACCCAGGGGCACTTAACCACTAGACCACATCCCCAGCCCTTTTTTGTATTTTATTTAGAGACAGGGTCTTGCTGAGTTGCTAAGTGCCTTGCTAAGTTGCTGAGGCTGGCTTTGAATTCACGAACCTCTTGCCTTAGCTTGCCAAACTGCTGGGGTTACAGGTGTGCGCCACTGCACCTGACCACATACTCAGTTTTGACACATATGATTTGTGTTATGTATACTTAAGTTATTCAAAAATTATGACCTTTTCCAACATAATGAATGTACTGAGGCCTAGTAAATACTATTTAGTATTTTTTTTTGGTTTTTAAATTTTGTATGTACTAGTTTCATCTTTTTTTAATGTTTTCTTATTTACTTATTTATTGGTTCTAATGAGTTATACATGACAATAGAAAGCTCTTCAATTTATTGTACACAAATGGAGCAGAATTTTTCACTTCTCTGATTGTACATGAAGTAAACTCACATCATTCATGCAATCATATATGTACCAAGAGTAATGATACACATCTTATTCCACCGTCTTTCCTATCCCTTTGCCCCTCACCCATCCCCTTTGCCCGATCCTCCACTTATCTCATGCACCCCCTACCCCCCATATGAATTATCAGAGAAAACATTCAGCCCCCGTTTTTTTTTGAGATTGGCTCATTTTGCTTAGCATGATATTCTCCAACTCTATCCATTTACCTACAAATGTTGTAATTTTATTCTCTTTTAATGCTGAGTAATGGTTCATTGTGTATATGTACCACAGTTTCTTCATCCATTCATCTATTGAAGGGCATCTAGGTTGCTTCCACAGTTTAGCAATTATGAATTGTGTTGCTATAAACATTGAAGTGGCTGCATTACTGTAGTATGCTGTTTTTAAGTCTTTAGGAGTGGGATAGCTGGATCAAATCATGGTTCCATTCCAAGTTTTCTGTGGAATCTCCATACTGCTTTCCAGATTGGTTGCACCAATTTGTAGTCTTACAGCAATGTATAAGTGTGCCTTTCCCCTCACATCCTTGCCAACACTTATTGTTGCTTGTATTCTTGATAACTGACATTTTAACTGGAGTGAGATGAAATCTTAGTTTTTATTTGAATTTCTGTAATTGCTAGAGATGTTAAACAAATTTTTTCATGTTTGTCGATTGATTGTATATTTTCTTCTGAGAAGTGTCTGTTCAGCTCCTTGGCCCACTTATTGATTGGGTAGTTTGCTTTTTTGGTGTTAAGTTTTTTGAGTTCTTTATATATTCTGGAGATTAGTGCTCTGTTTGACGTGTATGTGGCAAAAATTTGCTCCCACAGTGTAGGCTCTCTCTTCACTTCGTTGATGGTTTCTTTTGCTGAGAAGAAGCTTTTTAGTTTGAATCCATCCCATTTATTGATTCTTGATTTTGTTTCTTGCACTTTAGGAGTCTTGTTAAAGAAGTCAGGGCATAATCTGACATAATGAAGATTTGGGCCTACTTTTTCTTCTATTAGGCATAGGGTCTCTGGTCTAATTCCTAGGTCTTTGATCTATTTTTGAGTTGCTAGTTTCATCTTTGATGAAACATGGTTATTATGATAGTAGTAGCTGATTTGCTTAATTTCTTTATTCAGAGTTTATATCAGTTGGGATGTCATTGGCATCTGTAGCAGAAGCTCCAGTTGGCTTAAGCAATAAGGAAGTGGATTAGTGTAGGTAACTTAAACCCAAAGGTGAAGTGGGTTTTAGCCATGATATATCAGGATTCCTTAAAACCATTACTAGGATCACCATTTTTCTTTTTCTTTCTTTTCTTTTTTTTAGTTGTTGATGGACTTTTATTTATTCATATGTAGTGCTGAGAATGGAACCCAGTGCCTCCCACATGCTAGGCAAGCACACTTCCACAGAGCTGCAACCCCAGCCCAGATCACCATTTTTTCTTTTTATCATTTGCTTGGTGTCATTTTTGTTATTCCTTAACTTTTTAAGGCTTTCTCACAGTTCTAGACTAGATTATATCTAATTTGTATGGAAGCAAGGGGAGGGTGTACAGTTTTCTAAACTGGAAATCTTGGCAGACATTTTGTTTCAATTACTCATTTGTATTGCTCCCCTCTCTTTCCTCCTTCCTCTTCTTCTTTTTAATGTTTAGTACTCTCAGTTCTTTTGAAATTCAAATATATCACATTAAAATTTACAAAAGTGCAGAAAAAGTAGAAGATCATTTATAACCATCTTACCTTTATAAATGCCACTAATAATTTTTATGTATCTATGTTTTCTCTTTATATGTATTACTTTTTACATATAGTCATTATATACATTTAACATTGAATTTTTAAAATTTTATTTATTTAGATGTTGGTGGACCTTTATTTTATTCAGTTATTTATATGTGGTGCTAAGAATCGAACCTAGTGCCTCACACATTCTAGGCATTTACTCTACCACTGAGCCACAAGTCCAGCCCCAACAGTAATATTTTAAATTTTGTGTTGTGTTTCTCTTTACATGCTTATAAAGTTTTTGTAATTAATGATCACTTTAACATTCCTTAACAGTTACTTGAATGTTATTTACTTAGTCAAGAAGTGCCCAGTGTTTTAGTATTCACAATCTGTTTCTGAATATTAGAAAATTTGGTGGCATACCTGAGATTAAGACCTTAAAAGAAACTGAGCTCCATAAAGCTGTACATCATAATGCCCTGCTTTGTCATCATCTCTCTGCATTTATGAGGTATTTTACTAACATTTTTAACCAGAAGAATAAAACTGTGAGATGAGTGGATGGATTTTTAAAATGCAGATATTGCTTTGTTTTAGATACTGTGTTACCTTTAAAATTGATGTATCTTTAAAAGAAAAAAATAAAAAGCAGTAAATAAACATTCTGTTTTCCTCAAATTTGCTTTCATGAAAAAAGGCTGTGTCACTGTTACTTTAACCCAAATAAATACATGGGTGTTATTGAGTGCTGGTTGATTTTTCATGACATTCTAAGTAATTAACGTCACCTTTAATTCATCCAGTAGCTCTCACTGACAGTATATACCACTTACTGCCTGCCCACCATATGTGTTTAGGCATCCTGCCAGGCTTTTAAAGTTTCTTAACTAATCCTAACAGTTGAAGGTGTACTTTTTTTTGTTCCTGTTCTCTACATGAAGAAACAAACTCAGTGGGCTTAAGTGACTTGCTCAAGGTCCCATAGCTGCAAAATAGCCCATCTAGCTCAGTATGACGCTAGAGCCCCATGTTTTTCTTTAAAAAACAAAGTACTAAAGCTGTAAGTCTTTTCTTGAGAAAATAATATTGCATAATAAGGCAATCAATGGAAGAGCGAGCTATAACTGTTTTAAGAATTTCTTAAAGTATTTTTAGGGAATTCCCCAGAATGACTTAATTCTGAGCAGATCAAGAAATACATTTCTGTTTATATTTGCTAAAGTGACTGATTTGAGTCTCATGGAATATGGATGATGGTGGATTTATGGCAAGTGATACAGTTACTGTATCAAATACACATACAGGATTAATTATTTTAGTCAAATGGATTGTAAACCTCCCAAAGTGTGGGAAGCAGCAACTTACTACAAGTTTGAAGTATGTCACTGCCACTCATTCACAGACCTGGTTGTTTGTTGTTCAGCAGATGTTTGCTGGGTTCCCACTGATGGGACAGGCCCTAGGGCATGTGCTGCCACTGCAGTTGTGAATACATGGAAATCCTTCCTTCTTGAAGCATTCTGATTTTGGAAACAGGGAGTAGGCAGATATTGAGAAATACTCTGGTATTTGGAAGAGAGGGAAGTCAAATTATATGGAGTGATCCAGAGACCTCTTCAAAAAGTAACCTTCAACTGGAGTTCTGAATGATATGAAAAAGTGAAGAGAGAGTGAGAGAAAGAAGGGAGAGAGAGATTCCAGACAGAAAATTACAGCAAGTTTGAAACTAGCAAGGAGGCCAGAATGGCTAGATCAGCATAATGAGGGGAATAATGGTGGTAGAGATTTGAAATGTATTAAGGATTTGGGATTTTACTTGGGGTATGGCTGTTTGGAAGGTTTGGAGCAGGAGAGTGATGTAGAATATGATGAGCAGAATGTAGGATGGTGAGCGTAGAAGGCTGTCCAACAGCCCATGTGAAATATGTTGGTGGCTGGGGCCTATTATTATGGGTCCTGAGTATTCTCTGTGCAGGTGTTAGGAAATTATTGGATTCAGACATATTTCTAGAATAGATTTTATAAAATATGCTGATGAATTATATGTAGGATATGAGAAAATGAGAATTCAGGGCTTCTAGGCTTTTGGTCTGAGTGGCTGGAAGAGAAGAAATGCTATAGGATAATATTCTTTCTTTTAAACAGGGCCTCTTCATCTAGATTCTGATCCTGCTGGGCATTGATTGCTTGGGTAACCTTCAGTAAGGAGCTTTAGCTGTCAGGATTTGAATCATAGCGGATCTTGGGCATGTCACTTTAAGTTCATTATGCTTAATTTTGTCATCTGTAAAATAGGCATTATAGTAGCATCTACCTCATATGTTATTGTGCAGGTTAAGTATGTGTTGAATGTAAAGTGCTTAGAGCAGTAAAGTGCTTAAGCACTCTGTAAATCTGGCAATTGTTATTTTGTGAACAATTATTTGTTTTATAGGAATAGGTTCTGGGGATAGCAGTAGGGAATAAAATTAAATAAAATATTAATGATTAATATGTTAACTGGAATAGTGTCTGCCGTGTGATAGGTGTTCACACATTTGCTTTATGAATAAATGAGTGAACTAATAAATGGCGGCTCTTTACCTCATAGGCTGTATTCTAGTGTTCCTTACTCCGCTTCAACAGTTCATCCTCCCAGTGTTTTTTCCATCATTAATGGGGGAATAGGGTCCTTAGGCCATTCTTGAGATTGGGTCTGGCCTGCCTGTTTTCTTGCCTCTGAGAGTGCTGTCATTTGAATCCTGCACTTTAGTGATAAAGGGTTCTAGCTAAGTCTGGTGCACTGATTCCTCTCGTACTCCTGCTCCCGGCTGAGGTTCATGTTTCAGGAAGCCTTGGGCAGCAATTAAATGGTAATAAAAAGGCATCTCTGTGCCATTTTATTCATACATGCTGCAACTTGGAGTATTTTTCCATTATTCTATTGGTCTTAAATGCTTCCCTCTGTTTTCCTAGGATACAGTGGCGTTCTCTTTAATTATAGTATGTCGGGGAATTAGAGGTATAACGGGAAGTAAAGATTTAAACAGTCCCGTGATAGTCTATGTCTAGTTTGCTCCCTTTTCCTGCTTTTGCTGCCTCTCCCTTTTGCCTGGATCTGGTCTCTCTGATTAGGCTGGCTATCTGCACCTTCCATTCTCCCTGAGATATGGAGATGGAGAGGAGGTGTGAAAATGAAGGTCAAATGTGGTTATAATATTAATAGGAATGTAGATTGCAAATACAGATTGAAAATCTGTGCCTACAGATAAAGAAGAAAAAAACGATCTTAGTTGAAATTTAGATAGTATCTTTACTTTTAAGAGGAGAGACTTGAAGCATATTAGACAGAAGGTCACAGACTATGTTGGATGGGAACCAGAACTTAGTTTTATATTTCTAGTAGGTAAATAAATATTCAGTTTTTCTAGATTTTCATTTGAAGTTCATTTTGCAGTGGAATGATATTATCTAAGATTATAATATTAGGCAACATGCATTACGTAGAAACATTGCTTGTTAAATTTCCAAGAGTATACATATAAAAGATAGTTAAAATTTGGCTTCTCTCTTGTTTCTGAGTGGCAGTGGGAGCAGAATTTGTTGCTTACAGTGGTTACAAAGGTATAAGATTGTCCTTGCTTCAAAGAGACACTCAACTGTCTAACTGTTTGACCGCTTGGGTAGCTGTAATCCATTAGGTTACAGTGGCAGCTCTTGAACTCACAATGGGTGTTTAAAACTGCTTAATTGTTGCAAGACTCACTGTAGACATTTATTGTCAAATAAAGAATTGCAGATAAGAAGCATGGGAAGAATCCAGTTTTAAGGTGTAAAGCTCTATTTCAGTAAAATTCCCACCTGAACTAATAATGAAAACCTGCCAACTTTTGTGAGAATTGAATGATTAATATGTAAAGTATAAAATACTGCTTAAAAAGAACACCATTTAAAAATTTGGTTTAAGACTTAAAAACATTTTACTGGCACTGTTACAAAAATAATAAAAGTCTCTGACCTTTTATTTCTATGCATTGCTTTAATTTTGTATTTTTAAATTAAGGTATAAGGTATAATTGTATTTATTTATGGTGTATAATATTTTAAAATATGTATGTGTTATGAAGTGGTTAAATCATATAAATTAACATAGCCATCACCTCACCTACTTTACATTTTTTGTTGTGGTGATTATTTGTTGATAGTTGTTGTTTGTCCTAGCAACTAATATGTAATATTAAATGTTATTTATTCTAGGGTGCTCGGGTTGGTAGAATAGATGCTTTCGTTCAGAGCTTGGACAAAAATTTTATGGTCCCAGTAGGTGGCGCTATAATTGCTGGCTTTAATGATACCTTCATACAGGAAATCAGCAAGATGTATCCAGGTAAATAAGTTATTCTTCAGAAAAGGTAACTAACAAGCAGAAACCCATTTGTATATACACTGCTGTAATAAATATTAATCTCCAAAGCTTCCTTTATACCTTCTTTAATGTAATTTGTCCATTCTTATTTTAGGAAGAGCTTCAGCTTCACCTTCTTTAGATGTCCTTATTACTTTGTTATCACTTGGATCAAATGGCTATAAGAGGCTGTTAAAAGAAAGAAAGGTGAGCTTTCCCTTTAGGTGAACTGGAGGGAAAAGGATAACTAGAATAAAAAAGGGCACCAAAATTGAACAACTTCTGTTGTACATCCATCATAAAAATGTTGGAGGATCTGTGATTGATATGTGTGTGTGTGTGTGTGTGTGTGTGTAAACTATTCACTAGAACAGTGTTCCAAATCACTGGTGTTTTTGCCTATTGGTTCATTCCATTGGGAGTTTAGATATATGATATGGGAATATACTCTTATCTAGATCCACTGTAGGTGGTTTTCAATTAGCCATTGTCATCTGGTCTATCCTGATAGTCTGAGGAATATTGGATAGGTGGTTTTACTTTTATTATTTATTTATTTTAGAAAAACTTTACAAGGGGGATCTTATTTAGTAAAATGAATTTTATTTATCACTTAAAGATAGAGGTTACTAAAGGAAAAATAGAAAAGTCTTCTTTTTAGGTTTTGGAAGCCTAAATACAGTTTAGGTTATGGATGTTAATCTCAGGAGGAAGAACCAGGTCAGAAGTTGGCCAGCTTCTCATATACTAAAATAATAAATTTCTCTCTTGCCATTTTTGGAATGCTGAACTCATTGGACTATGTCAGCTGTGAGAAGAAAAGTGACATTTATGTTTAAAAACTGGGCTTTGTCTTCAGTACCCAAAACTAGCTTTATTCAGGACAACTCCAGAACCAGACATTGTTGGCAGAGCAAGTCAGATTAAGGTGTTTTGTTCACCTCCCATTTGGGAGAGCTTAAAGGTCCTGGTACAGGTTTTGTGTATATTTAACTTTCTAGCACTTATTAGCTATTGTAGTCCCTTAAATTTATATTACTACTTTACATAATTTAAAACATTTATATACATGTCTGTAATCTCCAATGTCTTTTAACAGTATTATGATGAATTAATAACAGAAGTTTAAAAATTTTATGCCCTGTTTTACTTTAGTCATCTTTTTCCCACTCATTCAGTCCATGGGCAAGTTGTTTACTTTTTATTGTGAGGACATTTCTTAAGGTATATCTTCATAAAAGAAAAGATACTCAGGAGTCATTAGGAAAATGCAGATTGAACAGTAAGATACTACTACACAGCTAATGTAAAATAAACCTGACAGTACAAATGCTGACAAAGATCATGAGCAAATACATCTCTTAGACATTGCTGGTAAGAATGGAAAGTAATACAGCAACTTAGGAGAAACTCTGGCATTTCTTACAAAGTGAAACATAAACTTAGCATATAATCCAGCTGTCTTCTACATATTTCTCTCAAGAGAAATGGAACCTGTTTTCAAATTTGGCTATTTCTGACCAGAATCACTATAAATATTCATGTATAGACTTTTGTATAGCTATTCTGTTTGTAATTGCCCAAACCTGAAACATCATCTGAAATATCATCTGATCAGTAGATAAACAAACTGGTATATCCATACTGAGCAATAAAAAGGAATGAACTGCTGATAATGCAACAAAATCATGACTCTGAAAAACATTATATAAAAGAAAGAAGCCATACTCAAAATACTGCATTTTGTATGGTTTCTTTATATGCTGTCCTGGAAAAGGTAAGAAAATATAAGGACAGAAAAAAGATCTGCAGTTACCAAAGGTTAGGGATTAAGGAGGGGATTTTTTGGCATGATGAAATGTCTTATATCTTGAGAGTGAGTTTCATGGCTCTGAGTATTTGTTAAAATTCATAGAAATGGACACCTGAAATTTTACTTTATTTAAATTATACTTCAATAAATTTGACCAAATTTTTATACAGTAAGAATAAAACTGTGGTTTTATTAACTACAAAAAGGAACATCATGGTCATAGATTGTTGTAGCCAAGAGAAAAGCTCAGATCTTTCAAGGAAATTTCTCCATACATCAGATGACAACTCTTGTTTATGTATGTGTTACACTTATTGGTTTGTCTGAGAGTTTGGTTATTTCAGATGCCAAAGGTTTTAGCTATCATATAAATTAGTTGTTTAACCTTGGAAAAGTTACTTGAACTTCTAGGTTTTGTTTCCTTATTTATAAAAGAAATATAGATATATCAGGCCACTTTTATTTCTAAAATAATTTAGAGTGTTTATTAAAATATAAAGATACTCAGGAGTCATTAGGAAAATGCTTT